ATATATAGGACTAAAATGAAATCGCACAATCCATGTCAATTATGCCGTGTTCAGATGTGTGGTTAACTTTACAAATGCATGTTGTGTACTCTGGCATGCTGTTGCAAATGCCGCGGCCAGACTGCAGGACAACCGCTCATCCTGGTACAGACCATGCACCCAGCTGTCTACACGTCTACGTGAATTATAACAGCGGCGGCACAGAAGTAAGGCAAGATTCACACTCTTTTCAGAGTGCTTCCGACAGAGACCCCAAATTTAACCACGGTTACAAACTCGCTCAGAGTGCAGTAATTCTACTGTCTTCACCGGAGTAGAACATAAGGTCATTATCGCTTTTTATCTGACTGAATAAAAGCTGCAATAATGATCATATGATGCATATTCTCTTTATGGGAAGACGCTAGCGACGCAGACACAGCACCAACCTCAGTGTACACAGGAGCCCAGATAGAAATACACTCAGGTGGAGAGCATGAAGGGCACTTTTCTCACGATGCTGCTTTCTGGAAGACAAATTCAATCTTCTCAGGATGATCTGCTTTTGGGAAGACGAATTCAAGAAGAAAAGCAAAAAAAATAAAGAGCACAATCCGACATATCCATCTCGTAATCCCACCTTGTAATTCCAGAAAGACGTGAAGATGAAGTACATCTCAATGAAGATGCTGCCAAAAGGAAGCAGGCCACCCATGAGGGAGACCATCCATGGGGTCAAATACCACTTCTTCTGAGGAATGGGCCTTGGTATGATCTTCACGCGGCAGGGATTATCAGGAACGCCGTTCCAGTTCCTCCCGACCACCGTCCCAAGAAGGGCAAGAGGGAAACAGATGAAGGCCCAGATGAGAAACATCTCCACCTTTTCCACACAGAGAAAAATAGACAGGCGAAGATCCCACCAATGGTAAAAGGCAGACCAACATCAGTACCCTGATTTTGCAAAAATGTGAGGCCATTATCTTTGCTTGTAAGTCGCACCGAAACGCATATCAACATTCTGTCATTTCTAAGACCTGAATCCCCGCCGTCGCCAAAGAAAAGACAAAAGACCTGCCAACTGAGTGCGAACTGAGCAGCCAAAAAAGCAGAAAACACCTCACACCCCATCGCCTTGTGAGCCAAAGGAGTTTCCTTTTTCCTAAGCTGACGGTACCAGTCCCACATTTGGAGTGAGCACAGTCCCACAGTCAGAGTGAACAGTCTCAGTTCCAAGTTCAAACCATGACTTCCGTTTCCCCAAAACCAGCGATAGAGAGCAGGTTCCGCATTCGGCATTTGATTCGTAACCCCCCCCCCCCTCCTCCCCCAGATGGTTGAGAGACGATGGACCTGATTTCCAGCAGGCATTGCTCCCCACCAATACAAAGGAAGAAAAAAAAAGTTACCTAGCAGGTTGCACATTCCACATCGGATCAGTGAAGTCACTCACAAGAAGCGTCAACCAATGCGCACAAGGTCATAGCGGAATCATTGAAGCCTTCAGTACAGACACATATGTCAGTACCTATGTGGCAGGCTTCCTTCCAGAGGAAACTCCTATGGGCAGTAGGCATTTGAAGAGGTGCAGACATAAGTGTGTGTGTTGTAACGAAGACATAACCTGGTCGTGGTCCTCGCCGAAAAGAAACTAGTGACATGTGTAGTATCTTCAAGGCTGAGGTAAGCTGTCAAGAAACGGGGCCTCGCTGCACTACTCTCGACATGCACAAAGGACAAAAATCATGGCGATGTATCTTTCCATATTCTAGCAGAAGATTCACTCTCGTTTTGCACATTCGAGAGTAGTCCAGCGAGGTTCATGGGTGTGCGCTGTCCAATTGCCAGCTCGATGCTATTACAATGGAACAGTACATGAACAGTCATGTCAGGCCTGTAGTAGTCTTCAAGGCTGGGGTAAGCAGCAATGAGTTTCACGTTGTGTGCTGTCCACTCCCATGCATCTTGCTTGGGTGTTTCAACCCCATTTGCCAGTTCGATACTATAACAATTGAACACTACATGAACATGCCAGAACTGTTACCTTGCAGTGAAGGTAATGGACCAGAGAATCATAGGACCCAGA